CAGGGTGACAAAATGAGACTCTATCTCAAAAAAAAAAAAAAAAAAAAAGAAATGAGAAATATTTTACTCAAAATATATTTCTTGACCTCTTTTGAGATGGCTGCTACGATTTGCAAAGCTGTCTTCCGTAGGGCGAGATGTGCATCTGTGTAGAATGCAGCCAGGCCTACCCCCTTCTCCTGAGCTGGAAAAGAGTAACTGAGACTCTGACATCTTTAAAGGTCGAAGAAGAAACATTCGCTCTCTCTCCAGGCTGAGGGCTGCTGCTGGTAAGGTTCCACTTACGGACAAGACCACCTCTGCTGGCTAGTCAAGCTCTTCCTCCCTCCCTTCCTCCCTCCCCAAACCTGTTTTTCTGCTTTTAAGAAAACAGAAAGATTTTGTTCTTTAAAATCTCTGTACCTCACTGAGGAGTCTAATCTGCATTCTGAGGGCTCCTCTGCATACAGGTGAAAATATTACTAACTCTGGACAGTTTTCTCGTTAACCTGCGTCATTGGGAGTTGATTGGGGGCACCCTTCACCCCAGCAGGGTGCCATTTAGCCACCGCACAACTTGGCAATTCATTATATCTGCACTTGGATCGTCCTTTATTCCCACCATGTGTTACTCTTTGCCGCCCACCCCCCACCCCTGTTTTAAATCCCACATTTGGACTTTCTATAACCTCAAAGAGCCTTGTGTCGTGCTAATTGTACGTGTTTACTGTTCCCTCAAAAGGAGACTCTTTAATTAATAAGAGAGACCTGGGATGTTCACAGCCTGGGCTTTGACAGCGAGGGTGTGAGAGCCAAGAGTTGGCTGGAGCCCAACTCCATTCTTTCTATGGGAGCAACCCCGCCCTTCTCTTAGCAACTTTGGTCATCAGAAAAATGAGGACAACAATTTGACTTCATGGGACTGTTTGAGGAGTCAAGGAAACGAATATAAAGGGCTCAGCACAAAAATGCCCAGTCCTGTGAACTATAAGTACACAGTAAGCCCTCAATAAACAGTAGCTATTGTTATCAAAAACAAACTTGCCTGAACCATTTGTTTGGGAGGAGGTGCTGGAAGGTGAGGGGGGTGGCGTGGAGGGTGGGGTGGGGAGGATGCCACCTGTCACTGGGAGGCCCTGCTCCAAAGGGGCTTTGCTTGTAGTCTATTCCAGTCTAATTCATACTGGAATTAGATAAATCTGATGTCTTGTATTTGGCTTCTTAAAAAAATTCCTAGTGACTTACACAGGTACCTATTTTTCACTGATCTCTATCAGGTATTCTTTAAAAACATCATTACTTTGGTGCTGAAACTATGGTTATACGAGGATGTTAACATGGGGTCTCCTAGTGAAGTATGTCTGGGAGCTCTGTACACCTTTTGCAAGTTTTCTAAAAATCTTAAATTAACCTTAAAAGTTTAAAAAATATGATTACCAGTTATTCCCTTGAGTTTCTATACCCTTCTATACCTACAATTAGTTCCCTTCACACATATAACTATTTTAAAAGCAGACTCCCATTCTTTTTTTTTTTGAGACAGAGCGGCACTACATCACCTTGGGTAGAGTGCCGAGGTGTCATAGCTCACAGCAACCTCCACCTCTTGGGCTTAATCCATTCTCTTGCCTCAGCCTCCCAAGTAGCCAGGACTACAGGCACCCACTACAACGCCTGGCTATTTTTGTTGTTGTTGCAGTTGTCATTGTTGTTTAGCTGGCCTGGGCTGGGTTTGAACCCACCAGCTCCGCTGTACGTGGCTGATGCCATAACCACTGTGCTACGGACGCTGAGCCCCAACTCCCATTCTTGATGCTGTTATTAAAATACCTTCTACTTCCACCATTTAAACATTTAACCATCAAATTTACCATCTGCGTGGCGTTAGGTGAGTTACTTCTTTGTGCCTCATTTTCTTAATAATAAAGTAAATGTGCTCACAGATGTAAATAAGTCAGCTGTGCAGAGTATGGAGCAAGGGGACCTTCTGTGGAAAGCAGTTGGCAACTGTTAGCTGAGGCTGCTGCTAGTGTTTACTACGGTCTCAACACTGGTGTCGCTTTATAATTCAGATGTTGAAACCTAATCCCTGAGGTGACAGTATGGAGAGGAGGGTTTTTGGGAAATGATTAAGTGATGAGGGGGAGTAGGATAAGTAGGATGAGTGCCCTGATAAGAGAGATTAAGCAAACACCTTTAGTCTTCTACCATTCGAGGATGCAAAGAGACATCTCTGAGCAGAAAGCAGCCTTCACTGGATCTGCGGGTGCCTAGATCCTGAACCTTCCAGCCTCCAGAACTGTGAGAAATCTCCTATTACTTATACACTATCCACTCTAAGATAATTTGTTATAGCAGACTAAATAGAATAAGGCACTTTTATTATTAAACTATTGCTGTATTCACATTCTCGGAGTAGAGCTTTATGTATAAAAATGTCAAAGCTGATTGTCAAGAGGCTTGACCAAGTTGGTTGCTGTAAGTTACACTGGTTGGTTCCTCGTGGGAAAAGTGCACATCCAACTCAGTGAAGAGGTACTGTCCCTTAAGATGATTCTGCAATTTGAGTCAAGTTCAAGTCTTGGCAATGGTGGAGCGATTAGCCTGGTGTGAGCTCTCACGTGATGGGACCTGGCCTGTCTCTTCTGCCTGTGCAGCATGGGCTTCTGTGCCCCCTGTGCAGCTTTACATCCGCAAGGCTTGAGGGGCTTTCCGAAGAGACCAGAAGACTCAGGCAGCACCATGTGGTCACTGCTTTTATAACAGAGGAAGGTATGGGGCAAGTCCAGCATGCACAGTGTGTGCTCTGCATTACACCAAGATGCAATGAATGCCAGCTAAACGCTTAATAACTCTGTCCAGGCATTCTTGCCTTGCAGTGAGCCATCAGGTGCCACATGCAAGCCTCATAATTAAACTGTGACTATTCACCTGTGATATCTATTCTACTGCCAACAGTGGTAGCTTTGGAAATAAAGGGGAAAGTAGCACAAAAAGCACCAAATGTTTAGCCAATAGGCATTCTATTTCACGGCTCCTCAATCCCTGGCCACCTATTGAGACTATGTTTTATGTTAATTTTCTCCTAAACTGCGTGCTCCCAGCTCCCGATAAATGGTTTTGACAATGCAGGAGCCTTCATAGAAGAGAGAGAAACAAGAGTGAGGCTGTCACATTGCAAACATTTTCGTGCCCAATTACGGGACCCCTGAAGAGCCCCACTTCCTCTGGGCAGAGTGGGCCTGGCTATCTGCAGAGACAAGGGCACCGTGGACTTCACATGCATCAGCCCCCTTAAAGGGAAATGGGTGGGGGGCACAGCCTCACATGTAAGGGTGTAACCACCAGGGTCTTGAGAACATAAGGAACTTCTCTAAAACACAACAAATCGGAAAGGATTCTGGTCTACGATATAGATTCCATTCCCAAGTTCTCTCTTGACCATTGGCTATAGTTGGTTGTTTCATCAAGTTATCCAGAGGCTAAGTGGTTCACCCTCTCCTGGCCATCTTGGGACCCTTTGCTGGGATTTCCCTGAACTCTTACCTGAGAGGACAGCCTTGGGGAGAACACTTGCTTATTGTTCAAAGGGGAAAAAATAAAAATGTTTCCAAAAGTAAGTGTCTCTCAAATTCTCCCCTCCCTCTTTTTTTCTTAGACCCTCCCCACCTTTCTTCTTCTTCTTCTTTTTTTTTTTTTTTTGGTAGAGACAGAGGGACACTTTGTCACCCTCGGTAGAGTGCCATGGCGTCACAGCTCACAGCAACCTCCAGCTCCTGGGCTTAGGCGATTCTCTTGCCTCAGCCTCCAGAGTAGCTGGGAGGACAGGCACCTGCCACAACACCTGGCTATTTTTTTGTTGCAGTTTGGCCGGGGCCGGGTTTGAACCTGCCACCCTCAGTATATGGGGCTGGCGCCCTACTCACTGAACCACAGTGGGAAGCCCCACAGGCACAGCCTGCTTTCTTCTGTTGTATCTTCTGTTATCTACAATAAGTAACATTAAAGTCATTCTTTCCAAGTTTGTGAAAGCTTCAAATTCCTATACAAATGGATGAAAATGAATGCCCCTGTCAAAGAAAGAGCATGGTACGCGGTCGGTCCACGGGGGAGCCCTGAGAGGAGGAAACAGGCTGATGCCTGAGAGTAACTCTGCATGGAGTGGGGGACGGCACAGAGAGGCCAGGTCATCTTGAGGACACAGGACGGGGCCGGGGACAAGATGCCTTCAGGATGATGTCACAGTTTGATGTTGCTGCTCCTGATCTGGCTTTGGTGGGAAAGCTGTGCTACGGCCAAGCCCGCCCATGCACAGCCCCCAGGAGGGAATTCTGGTCCCTCAGCTGCAGTTTGTAAGAGATGTGATCGTTACAAGCACAGGTTCTGGAGTTAAATGCCTCCGTTTCCATCCTGGCTCCTTACTTAATGACTACAACGCTTCAAGTTACCTATCTCTCTGTGCCTCAGTTCCCTCTTCTGGAAAACTAGGCTAATAATCTTCACTTTCCATAACAGTCGTGAGGACTAAACAATTAATCTATGTGACGTTCCTGCACCACAGCTACCACGGTGAAGCACAGCACTCACGGCTGTTGCTATGGAGGGGTGGATTTATCAGGCCGCTGGAGCCCAAAGCCCAAGGCCATTTAACACCTGGAACATCCATCCATCCGCCTCCTGTTGCCCCAGTTCTGCTCTCTCCGACAGCACTTTGATTAATCGGCTTCCCTGTCCCCTGTCACTGGGAGGGAAACACACTATCCATGTGTCAAAATAGCCCAATCCACAGGGCGGCTGTGACTTTGCATGACATTGAGTATTTGGAAATTCAGGTGTACAAACCAGTCTCCTGGGAGGAACTTCAACGTGTATCCGCTGACCTCGGAGGCAGTGAGGATTCTGTCTGGCAAAGGCCTCTCTCCAGGGCCCTAGGCGGCCAGCCCAGCTCCGTCCTGCCCTGCCCCAGTGGGGCCTTCCCCGGGGGCCTGCCCACACACTGTTCCCATGCCAGCGTGCCTCACCCGTGACGTGAAGCTTCTCGTCGGTGACCTCGGCCTTCAGGTAGATCCGCCCCCTCTTCTCTGTGTGGTCCATTCCGCAGAGGCTGGGGACATTGATCACGCACTGCTTGTGAACATTCATGTCGCAGGCTGTGAATTGAGAAAGCAAAGGGTGAGGACGAGCATATGGGCTCCAGCCGTCACTCCCTCGGTGTTTTGGTGTGTGAGCAGAAGTGAAAACGACTTATCCCCTAACTCAATACTTCGTTACAATGTTTCTGGTGACATAAAGAACTGTTAGCAGATGTCCCCACAGCACAGGCTTGGTGTGAGTGACAGTATCCTTAAAATACCCGTACCATATTTGTTCAGTCTTAACCGAAATACAAAATACCAAAATACCCGGTCTTGGGCTTCAACGACTGTCTCAAATATTACAACAGTATACAAAGTTCACACAGGTAACTGCGTGCAAAGCTCGGGACTCATTAATATTTTATACACATCATATGAAAACTTTAAAACAAAGGACACTTGCTGCCAAAGAATTCCTTGTGCCTTTTCTGAGCTCACCACTGAGAAAGAGTATAAAAAAAATCTGCGGGTAGAGGACGGGAAATCCATGAAATTTTCCTTTCCTCGACGAACCCTGTATTTTCAAGAAGGTTTAAGAATGTTGCCTTTGTTTTTTTTTTTTTTTCTTTCCAAAGAGCTTGGGTTTGATATTTTAAACCTGTCTTCAAATATTTAAATATTATTCTAAGTAAAACAAATACACGCCCGGCATGATAAGCCATTCCTTACAGCTGACATTACGTGGGCGAGATGGGGGAGGATTAAAAAAAGATCAGTCTTCCTGCGACGAACCAAGCAAACCCTGAAAAGGAGCCTGTGGGCTGAACAGAAACAGAAGACTCCGAGTAGGGGTTCCAGCTCTCGCGTCCTTGTACCTTGCGGCTTCTAGAAAGGAGGATGGCCGCTGGACTCCTCCTAAATCCTAGCTGGGATGCTAATGTTATTCTGCAGCCTTCCAGGTGGAGCCTCCCTGCCCCCTTCACTGTGTTTCATTTTAACATGGCCAGGCAAATTGCAAAAAACATCATGAATAATGTATATTTGTTAGGATTAAACGCTGAAAGCAGGATAAACGGACGCGGTAAGGAAAAAACAATGAGCCGATTCACAGATGCGGATTCTGCGGGGTTCCTGTTTCTCAAGCCAATTTGTTCAAAATCCTGTACCTTCGTGTAGCCAAATGAAGGCTCCTGAAAAGTTGTATGATGCAGACAGCTGACGTTAACATACGTGTTTGGGCAGAATTTGCAATTTAAGGGAAAGAAATGCCAGAGCCTCTAGACAGTGAACAGGCCATGAGGGGCAGGGAGGTGAGTAGGGACAGTTTGCTGGGTTGGGCCCTGGTCCCAGATCTACTATTCACTGGCTTTTATGTCTTGGGAAGCTCATTTGTTCTCTTCTCTGATTCAATTTCCTACACTACAAAGAGATTGGCCTACACAAGTTGTTGCTAATACCCCTCTCCCCCACTGCCAAACAAAATTATATATAGGACTACGACTGTACAGTGTGTAAGGGCCCAGGCAGAGGCAGCTTCTCCCCAGAGGTTAAGGAAGGGGCTGGGGTCCTGCCGCCCATCTGCTAGTCCTCCTCTTGCTTCCAGGCAGGAACAGGGGCCATGGCCCCAGCAGCCCCGTGACTCCAAAGAAGAGTTCAGAACAAAGCAAAACAAAAGAAGAAAATGAAACAGCACTGGTTCAGGTCAGTGGTTTTCAAAATTTTTTTTTCGGAATGGAACCTGTTTTTCAAACAAACTCTAAAGCAGAATCCTAATATATAAACCAGACCGTTCCTTTATTGGCATAAACTTAGTTACTACATTAAAATTTATACCATTTATTTCTCACACAGACATTCAAGGCTCACCAGTAAAGCCCCCTGATCCAAACAGAACTCTGGAACCAGCTGCTAGGGATGCTAGCTGTTGTCTCAGACCAGCCTCCACGCCTCGTTTATTTCTGGATTTTGTTAAACCTGTACAGCGTCCAAAAATCCTGACTCACACAGAAGATATGCAAACAGGTACCGTGTTTACCAGCAAGAGCCACAATCCCAGCAAGCCTCTTCAGTTAAGTGGATGTGGCAAGAGAAACCGGATTCCATGTTCTGTAGAGTAGGCTTCCTGGTGCCTTCTCTAACTCCACAGTGGTTGAGTATGTAACACATCTGTTCCAAGTTTTCAAATATTTAGAAGTGTACTTACAAATGCACTTAGAATTAACCCTTGCAAGCCCCTGAAAACCGTGCCTTTGGAGCCCTAAGGTGTCCTGAAGCCCAGAAGGCCGTGGCCTGGATGGTAACAAAAGTTAAGTTGTTAAACTGTACACCTGTGTGAGGTGAAGAATCCCTGCGTTCTGACAAACCCTCCATCTAAGCTTTAATGTTCAAATACATTGATTTTTATGTACTGTGTTTGTTCCATACAGATATGAAGCCATGAGACATAGCAGTCATCCACGAAGGGCAACATGTACACATTTCCAAAGGCTTCCCTGCCTATTCCCAAAACAGGCTCAGTAATTACCTTTGCATGTCCTAAAAGCATGAACTGTCATTTCAACAAACAGCCTGGGGAATCTCGTAACTTAAGGATTATGGAAGCACGGCTTGGTGCCTATAGCTCAAGCGGTTAGGGCGCCAGCCACACACACCGGAGCTGGCAGGTTTGAACCCAGCCCGGGCCTGCCAAACAATGACAACTACAAACAAAAAATAGCTGGTGTCTGTAGTCCCAGCTACTTGGGAGGCTGAGGCAAGAGAATTGCTTAAGCCCAAGAGTGTGAGGTTGCTGTGAGCTATGACAGCAAAGCACTCTACTGAGGGCGACAAAGTGAGACTCTGTCTCAAAAAAAAAAAAAAAAGAATTTTGGGGAAGAAAGAGTTTCCATAGTTGTTTTCTTTCCTTCCCTCCCGACAGTTGGTGGAGATACACATAGAACAAATCGGGAGAATGGAAGAGGCTGACGTCTTCCCTATTAGCGTCCCTCAATGACTTCACCTGGAACTGGACATAAATTCCATCTGTCCGTAAACGCACAGGGTGACTGAGCTAAGACGCTATCCTGGTTTCTGTGTTCATTTCGGTTTTAATTTTAAGGAGATCCTGCTGGATTTTTCCACAGTCCATCCACTAATTAGAGAGACAGGAAGATAATGACTACGGTTGCTTAGCTTATTTTGAAGCCTACCAAACGTGGAATCTGGAGGTGGGGAGTCTTCCTGGGGTTTGACCAGCCTGCAGTTTAGAGTGATTAAACATTTCTACCACTTTAAAATAAACTGTGATAGTGCCCACCAACTGCATTTATAAAGCGAGGGGCTTTTTTTGGTTGTTGGTTGTAACTAGGCAATTAAGTAGTTCAATAAACCAGAACTTCAACCGTGGAAGATTCTATACTTTTTCAGTCTGAACTAATTCTGTCTATTGATGAGTCGGTGTTGCAAAGTTACTGAAGCTTCTTCAGTGCTCAGGAAACCCTGAGCATGAGGTGCGGAACCTCACTGTGAACTGGAAAAGAAAACTTACTTACTGTCACATTTCATCCCTTGATGGATAAGTCCGTACAGCAGCGAGCCGCAGTGATCGCAGAAGGTGGGGCTCCCGTAAGTGTGGATTTTGAACTTGTGCTTGCTCCTGGGGTCCTGAGAAGAGAAGAAGCACAATGTCCATTCTAGCCAAGCCTCATCACACCAGACTGGACTGACCAGACTCAGTCACACCAGACTCAGTCACAGTCAGACAACAATACAACAGGCGGACGTGACTTTCTGCCACCTCATGTCTTGATGTAACAGACACGCATGTTTACTCTTTTTACAGGGTGTAATTTGCGTATATCAGGATTCCCACCAAAACTATGGATCTACAGCCTGGATCTATACTATCAAACTATGGACCTACAGCCATCAGAGCCCTTCGGGGCAAGGGTAGTGTTTTAAACCAGTGGTCTCTAACCTTTTTGGCACCAGGGACTAGTTTCAAAGAAGACAAATTTTCCACAGACTGGGGGCCAGGGAGGATGGTTTGGGGATGACTCAAGCACATTGGATCTTCTACTTCAGACCATTAGGTGTTAGATCACGGGTCCTCAAACTTTTTAAACTGGGGGCCAGTTCACTGTCCCTCAGACTGTTGGAGGGCTGGACTGCGGGCCCCGGGATGAGTCGGCTGCTAAGCATGGCAGGCAGCAGCGGAAAAAACACCCGGCGGGCCGGATAAATGTCCCAGTGGGCCGCACGTGGCCCCGCGGGCCGTAGTTTGAGGACACCTGCATTAGATTCTCATAAGGAGCGCACAGCCTAGATCCTTCCCATCCACAGTTTATAGTGGGCTTCACGCTCCTATGAGAATCCAAGGCTGCTGCTGACGTGACAGGAGGTGGCGCTCAGGTGGGGATGCACATGACGGGGGGCAGCTGGACTACAGGTGCAGCTTCTCTCACCCACCTGCCAGTCACCTCCTGCTGTGCAGCCTGCAGACTGGGACTGGCCCATGGCCCAGGGGGTGTCTTTCCAGGGCCCAGTGCAGGCTGTGGTACAGAGTAGGCACAAGATCAGGTTGTGTTTGTGAAGCTGAACTGAACGACCCTGAATCTGGCTCATTCAAGAGCAAGATTTCCAGAAATACAATCTGCTGTGAAACCAGATATATCCCCAACCTGACAGGCACATCTTGCTTCTGCACAATCACGGAAGCGTTACACACATTTGCACAGGGAGACTGTGCCACGGTCAGAAGAAAACTGGAAAGGCACCAAATTACACGTCCCTCAGCCCCACTGCTATTCCATGACTTTCACGCACACCATACAAAGTACCAAACTGGCGTCAATTGCAATTGATGACTTCTTTTTTTTTGATGTAAAGTTGTTTTCACAGATTTTGGATAGGGAAGTAACAACTGTATACAGCAGACCATTGTAGTTCAAGAGCACAAGACTGGAGTCACTGACTGGTTCAGGCTCCAGTTCTGCTACTTCCCAGGAGCATGACATTGGACAAATTATTTATCCTTTCTGCCTCATCTGTAGAGGAATTAATGGCACCTGTCTTATGTGGTTGTGATGAGGACAAAACGAGCGAATCTTTGTAAAATGCTTAGAAGAATGGCTCACGCAGGGTAGGTGCCTTGTAGAAAGAGCAGATGGGCTCCTTCGCATCTGTGACCTCCATTATCTAACATGCACAGGCAGGGAGATAGCTGAAAGGTCTTTACATTCTACAGGAGCTATAAACCAGGGGTCCTCAAATTTTTGAAACAGGGGGCCAGTTCACTGTCCCTCAGACTGTTGGAGGGCCGGACTGTGGGCCCTGGGATGAGTCTGCTGCTAAGCAGGACAGGCGGCGGTGGCAAAAACACCCGGTGGCTGCATGTGGCCTGCGGGCGGTAGTTTGAGGATGCCTGCTGTAAACCATTTCATATTCAACAAGTACATATGAGGACCCATCCTTAGTAAACACTTCCTCCCAAATCAGCCTTTGTGGTCTGAGCACCTGTCAACACAGAGTTGACAACTGAATCAGAAAAGCCCTCAGAGGAGCAGGGTGCAGGGAAGGGCTGTAGATCCGAAGCTCCATGTTAGCCATGTTAAGCTTGAGCCACCCCTTACAGCAGCGGTTCTCAAGCTTCCTAATGCCGCGATGCATTTTCATTGTTACACAGGGGTGGAGACCCATAGGTTGAGAACCGCTGCTTTAGAGGTCTGAGCAAATGCAGAGAGGCTGGAAGAAGGATATTCTTGGCTTCTAACTTTCTAAGGGCCCACGTGCTGGGGACTTAAAGGAATTCCAAAGGTGATTTTGACTCTATAATTCACCTTTTGATTGATTTGGGGACCTAAAACCTAAGCCACATGTGAATGAGTCATTGTGATTACTTCCTATAAATATAGATTTGAAATGATGAAATATTTCAATCATGTAGACTAGATATTAGAGAATATTAAGCCAAACACTTATGTATGCACCACCCAAATTTGATAGAAGTATTTCTATTTTTTCATCATATAGTTATTATCCTCATTTTACAGAGATGTTACTGATCTTCCCAACGTTGTGTGGCTGATGAGGGTCAGACCTGGGATTCGACCAACATTAGAGGATTCTCATCCCACGAGTATGGCGCCCCGAACAAGCAGGAAATGCAAATTATTTAGTCCTTTCCCAGACCAACTGAATCAGAAACTCTGGGGCAGGAGGGACAGGCCCAGCCTCATGTTGGGTCATTCTAATGTTGGCAATTCACCAAGGGCTGCGGACCACTGCTTCAGAAAGTCATTCAACAGCTATTAGCAAAAACCTCATGGGTACTAAGCGAATCCATGTAGACGACTGCCAATATTCTTGGGACAGGTCACCAGTTTTAAACTAGTTTACTAGTTTAAATATCTCTCCTGGGGTGTGGCTAATCAACATCTTCCTTGAGTGAGTGTTTTTCCATAGACAGCAGCTGTGACCATGGTTTGACGTGAGGCAGCCGCTAGGAAAGAGGTCCACCAATGTCCCCAACATCCCGGGTGTCAGGCAAGGGAGCAGCTGGGTGTCAGCACTGATTAAAAGGACCCACGTTGACATGAAAGGTTGTGTCCTGCAAGGTGGAGGGCAAAGAACATGCTAGGGGAAAGGGAACAACCATTTTTCCCTGCGGAAACGAGATATGCACAATTGGTGTTAAGTAAATAAAGAATGGCAGCTTGCACAGAGCCTCCTGGAGTGTGGTGTGCCGGGCGGCCCCAGGGAGGCTGTCAGGCCAGTTGCTTGTCACATAGATCTCTACCGACATGATGCATGGGCAACTTCACTTTTCAGGAAAACCTGTCTTACTCATGCAGGGGCCATATGGTGACTTTGGGCTCTAACCATTTGGAGGTGTAGGCAGAGAAAACCATCACTTACACCTCCTGTGTAAGTCTGGAGAGCCACCAAGCCTTGGAGTCTTCATACCCCCAAATCATGTATGTGGATAAGGATCCTGCCTTTGAATTACAAAATCACTGACAATAATAAATGACAATACCACGGCCCATTTTGCTGATTATCAGGTCTGTGGAAATGCTTTACAATAAATCTCTGTTTAGAACAAGAGCGTTTCTTACAAAAGGAGTGCTTTCCGGGACTTGTGAGACCTGCACTCTGACCCAGCCCTGACACAGACCCTGTGACCTTCGAAAAGTCACGTCACGTATTTATTTATCAGGCAGAAATAAAAACTGGCCTATGTCATGGGTTGGGAATGAGGCTCAACTCAGGGAGCATATGAGAAAGGTTTTGTAGCCTGAAAGTCCCTCGGCAAAGACAAGAGATTGTTGTTGTTATTCTATTATCCTTGGAAGTAAAGTTCAAGCTGCCCAAAGTTTCCCCATAGCACTTCAAAGACTTGAACTGATTGGGAAGGAGCAGGACACTGACTGGCTTCAGTCCTGCGGGTGGTGGGAGGGGCAGCCAAGCCTGCGGAAGGCAGGACTTTCCTCCCCGCCCCGAAGCCCCCTCCTCTGCACTCCCTGACCTGACTCCCAAGACAGTTGGGAAACTGTCAACCCAACCATCCCTTGCACTGCCTGCACCATAGAGATGGGAATACAGGAGCATGGAAACTCGTTTCCAGTCTAAATAATCTCACCTAGTCTGACAAACAGAACCACAGTGTCGGCTCAGGAGCTGTGACTCAGGATTTGCTGAGAGCAGCTCCTCCTAAAACCTCCCTGGGCTCTCGACATTTCTATTAATAGCCACTAAACAGCGATGCCTGTTACTTCCTTGGGCCCTGATTTCCTCATCTAGAACTTGAAGGTGTTGGCTTGGATCAGCTTTTGCAGAAAGGTACTTCGCAGAGCCCTGAGGTTGTCGGGAGGTGCAAGGGGCTGCTGGGGAGGGGGGCAAAAGAGGAAAGCAACTGGACTAGATCGTCTCTTTGGTTCCACTTGCTTAAAAAGAAACTCATGAGAATTCGCAAAAATAGTACAGGCTGTCCCTGCACACTCTTGCTGCCGCTTTTCCAGTGATACATCTTACGTAACCATGGTACATTCGCAGAACCGGGACTTGGACGCTGCCACAGTACCGGTAACCAGACCGCAGGCTTTAGGGTTTCACCAGCTTTCACACGCGTGACTCCAATGCAAGTATTTTTATTATACAACTGAGCAGTTAAATATACTATTTACTGAGCAGAGAATACAGTAATATTTGCTCGCTAAATGCCACTAGCTCATGAGAACTGCACCAGAGGAACATCTGTTACTTCTTTATTAAATGTATAACCTGCTGGATCTCATGTTAAGGAATCGTGGGAAGATGAGCCTGAAGATTTATCTGCAAGGTAAAATGAGGATGCTTTTATCTAAGGAAAGGCAACATAGGCTGTTTCCAAACTTTTCTAATCAGGTTGTCAAAACCATTTTGCGGCACAGGCTGACTGAGGGTTGATCCACAAGATGGTACTAGCCTGGGTTATGGGAGATTGGATGGTGGGCAAGGTCTGGGGCTCCCAGGCGATGCTTGTCACCTGGATGGAAAGACAAGGTGAACGACAGAACACCAAGGCAGGCCCCAGCTACCCGGGCTGGAGAGTAGGTTTCACGACATTTTTCAAAGGAATCATGCGAACAATGACTACAGGGTTTGTGTGGCCAGGGAGGGACATG